AAAAGCATCTCCCTGGACTGGTAAAGAGGACAGGCAGGGAAGGGCCCACCCCATAGACAAGACAGGGCATTATGGGCCACATAATGGACTTAGGAGAGGCTTGAGATGCACAGGAGCTTTCTGGTCTGCTCCATGTCTCTTCCTTTCATTAACACACAGATTATCACTTCCTGACTCCCATGAGCTTCCTGACTATAAGGAAAACATTTCTCTCATCATCAGCTAATGAGGACATTTTGTCCCGGTAATCCCTGAAGAAGGGTACTCCTCCCCTAATTAATCAACAAATATTTATGGAGCAGCTTTGGCACACAATCCAATTCCCATTCCTTGGGGCCTCCTGCCCTCCCCCACGTTCTCCTGGAGATTCCTCTGACTGGTACTTTTGCAGTATGTGTGCTGTGCTCTGTGATCCTTACACAGCCACATGGCTGATTCTCTCAATGCACTGAACACTCTCAAACTCGGAGACTATATATCATGCATCTCTGTAAGTCTAGAATCAGTCCTGGTTGTGTGAGAAATAACCGAATGGATGAATGCATACATGGTTCTCATCTCCTTGGCCCTGCGACAGGTGGAAGAAAAATGGAAGCTGGATCCTCTACTTCTCAAGGAACTCACAGTCTAGATGGGCATTGACTGAGAATAAATACAGCAGAGAGTTAATTACCAAACAGATCCGTGTCATGAATATCTCAAACACTGGCTGGAGGGATTGGCCGGGTGTGCACTTGTAGGGCTGCAGTTGCACTGGGCGGCTGGAAATCACAGTGTGCATCCCCAGGAGATGACAAGGATTCCCGAAGCTCTCAGCTCTCCGCTTGTCCCTCCAAAGAGGCAGAAAAATATAGGGCTCACATCTCACGTGCAAAGTTTGTTATGTTTTTCTCAGTGTTATGCAAGTTTTTGGACCGGGGAATGTGACGGTAACAAGGACACTGTAAGCATTTTCTGGGAGTGGCCTGTCCCAGCAAGGAGGCCTTCTCTGCTGTCTGTTCTTTCTGTAAGTGAGCTATCTACAGCAACCCTTACAGAACGGAGCATGTAAAGACATAAAGAAATTTCAAGGGTCTGACTCAAAGACAGCGAACTTATTCAGTGCCTCCATGGGACCATGGAGGATGCCCTGTCCCCGTCTGGATGCAGAGCACTGTCTTCCTCTGATGCTGCTCAGCACTTTCTCTAGTTACCCTGTCGGAGTTCATGGGCCACAGCCAGAACCGCTGTGCGTCTGCACATATGGTTCTCAGAGCTGTGGAGAGAGAGACCTGCCCAGCGTGGCAGTGGTGCTGACCTCCATCCCGAGCGTGCACTCAGCCAGCCATTTGCCAAGGCAGAGGATAGACTGAATGAAGCCGGAAGAGATGAGTCCATAAGACCAAAGTTTAGGCCTAGTGTAAAGCACGCAATTTCTGCTCCTTGTTTTCTTTTATGTGGTTTCCATGGGGATCATAACTGGGATGATCATTTAGCCTAGAAAGCGGAGGGCAGGTGTTGGGAGTGGAGAGACCAGGCAGAGGAGTTGCCTCCAGAGCTGACGCGGGCTGGTGACCCTAGAGGTCTTGTGACTCCAGGAGCGACACTGAGATATTTGTGAACACAAACAGTGGCCGCCATGGAGAAGGCCTACTGGGTCATGCTCTGTACCCCAGCAGAGGGCTTCCTCATGCAGCTCTTCACGCAGGGGCGGGAGCAGCGTCCTCTTTGGCCTCCAGAAGGAAGTGACCTGGCATTTCACAACAAAGGGCATCAGGAGGCTCTCAGGGGGTGGAAATGAGGGTGATGTTGAGTGGGTGCCACTCCTAGGTAAGTCTTGGTTTTCTCGAGTGAAGATTAAAGACTTGAAAAAAAATGGCTTCTGAATATTTGTACAGCCAAGATGAACTGTGAGTTGTGGCTTCACAGTAAGTCTCAGGAGACAGCACCGGTGAGGTTCAAGTGCGGGCTAGGCTCTCTGGAGGGGGACAGTTCCAGGTAGGACAGCTGATACCCTTGGTCACTGGTACAGCCCACTGAGGTGGCTTAAACAATTCATATTAGCAAGGGAGAGAGACATCTATCATTCATTTATTCTGCCATTAATTGAACCATTGATCCAATAAACACTTCTAAAAATGTTTTTATTTATTTATTTTAGTGAAACATGGTCTTACTATGTTGTATAAACCAACCTTGATTTTCTATGCTTAGGAAACCTTCCCGTTTCAGCTTCCTCAGTGGATGGGATCACCACACCAACATGCCTAGTTCAATAGATGTTCTCCAGTGCCTCCTGCAGCGGGCTCTGTACTGACGCTGTGTGAAACCCAGAAGTGGAAATAGACTCAGTCCTGGTTCTCAGGTCCCAGAACAGGGGTGATAACTCGGGGTGCAGGGGGCCACTGCAGAGAGGCAGACTGAGAGGGAAGGTTCCCTGACAGTGTTCTCAGAGCTGAATTTGGGGAACTGATTGGACTTTGACAAGAATGGGTGCATGGGGCAGCGACAGGCAGGGAAGGGTGCTGTTGGGGGCCGCGTGGGAAGGGGACCCCAGTGGGGATGGAGAGGGGAAGGAAGGGAAATCCTTCTGCCTCCCGACTCTTGTGCTATACACGGAGAAAAGACTGCCAGTGCGACTTGAGTCACAGAGAATAAAGAAGCCTGAATTGAGAATCTCTTTCTGTGTCTGCCGTGTTCTGGAGCTGTGTGCATCTTGCCTGGGGTGTATTCTACAGTTTGTGTACGCTTATTATCCATCATAATCATCATAATTAATAAAACTTTTTAAAGGGGGCTTTAATCACGCTTGTGCTTTGCTTCCAAACACATAATAAAAGGAATTACTTATAAAAGTGACAAATTTATTCCTAATTATACCATTATTTTGTTATGCGATACAAGTAAAGCAATCTTTGAAGCTGGAAAAATGTCTCACGCAGAATTAATTAGAATAGTACATGGTTTGGAATTAGGCAATTATTTTATTGATATTTCACAAGTAGAACTTTATAAGTGCACCTCAAATATTTTCATTGTTGCTAGTAAATACTTATTTTAAGCACTTACTGGTAGGAATTCCAAAGATAAACTTCCACTGTTCTTGAACCGTATAAAAATATTTTAATCTGAGAGAAAATTTCTAGGATGCAGGAGTTTCTGTGGCCTCACAGAAATTTCAAGGAAACAGAGGTCAGTGCTCAAAAGACTTGCTGCTTGCTGACCAGCTCAGCAGCAGAAGGGCTGTGAGACCGGGAAGGCGCGTGAGACCTGAAGGAGCCCAGGTCACACCAAGGAGCAAACAGGGACTCCAGAGTACAGGGTAGTGCAGGTCGCGTGGGAAGTCACAGCTGAGGCTGTAATTCTCATTGTGGGACTCTCATTCCTATGTTCTTACTTTCTTTTAAAAATGTAAGCTTGAGGCTGGGTGTTTAGAGGTGCATGCCTATAATCCCAGCTCTCGGGAGGCTAACCCAGGAGGGTCACCATGAGTTCGAGGGCAGCCTGGGCTACACAGTGAGTTCAAAGCTAGCTAGAACTACATAGCTAGATCTTGTCTCAAGAAACAAAACAAAAAACAGTAAATTTGCTTTTTAAGTAAGAAAAGCAATACCTCCTTACCTCTCAGCTCTCATCTCTAATGCTCTTTCCTACTGTCTTCTAACCCAAACCCACACTAAATTCTTCACTTCGCTTCTGCTGTAGATCTAATAGCCTATGCGTGGGTCAAGGGTCCTAATCTCATACATATGAAACTTGCCTCCTTCCTCAAATATACCAAAGGCTAAGTTCTCTTCTACTGTCCTGCCTTAAGCAGCCCTTATGCACAGCTGAGCACATAGCGAGCTGCTATACTTATGTGGAAGAGTCACCAAGCCCACATCTGCTGGCCGGGGTGCAGGAGACTGCTCCTCAGGAAGTTTTACAGGAGGAAACCTGACTTGGAGAGAAGTGCTGGTGGGGTGGGGGCCACGCTTGGCAGACGCACCATGGAGAGACAATTGCCAGCTCTCCTAGGCCTCTGTGGGGTGCGATAAGCTCATGCATTGACTGCAGCCTGGGCTGTGGTTCTGGAGCCCTCTGAGAAAATAGCAGCCTCTTTGTCCCCTGTCTCATTAAGAAGAAGCCTTCTTTTTCACAGGGTGTGTATGTCTGAGAATACACATGCAAACAAAATGCCCTGGCTGCTGAAGACATGGGAATTGGATCATTGGCTTCACATTGCAAAAGAGCAAGAAAAGGCTGGAGAGACAGAGAGAAAATAGGCAAGGGGGCCACGGTGATATAAAATCTGTAAACTCTGTCTTTCCAGGAGCACCCCAGGGAGTGTGCGTGCTCACCTGAGCTCAGGTGTAAGATGCGTTCCTCCCTCTGCATGCGGAAGGTGGGGCAGCCTCAGTGTTGGGCCTCCGTGTCTTCAGTTCTAAGATGAGGGAGTTGGAACAGCAAGTCCACAGGGCTCCCGAGGGCGTGCACTGTAGTTAGCCCCAGCCTGCAGGTGGCTTGGCTTTGGCCAAAGGCTCAGGCACGGGAGATCAGAGTGGCTGGAATAATAAACATGTTCTCCGGTCCGGCCTGGCAGCCTGCTTAATCATCACAGCTCCCTGGCAGCTTGGATTTGCTACCTAATATTTAACCTAAACCTTTTTCCTGCTTTTGTTTTAGTTCATCCTCACTTGCTCAGTTCTATCAATCTACCTGTGCATTTCTATGCCGCCGCTCAGAGAGCGCTTAGCACCTGTCCTCCTGAGCAACGAGGTTAATATTGAAGGCAAAATCCATTTCGGAGAGATAATGTGCTATAGACCTTTCAGAAGAGCTCTCTATGATAATGAGGAATGAGTTACCATGCTGAGGTTGTTTAAATGTCATTTATTTTAACAAGTGACACTCTGAATTTATTTAAAGTTGAGTAGAATGAAGGAAGGGTGGAAAGTTTTAAAGTTTCATGAAACGATAATAGAACTGCACAGCAAGGAGGCCGGAAAGACGGGCCGAATGAATGGCATTTCTGATGACAGGTCCCGGAGACGCTGCGCTGGCTGGACCTTCCTGGAAGTTCCGGAAAGCCAGCGAGGACGTGAAGAACGAGAAGTCTCTGGAGGTACCTGCCACCTCTGTTCCTTCTGGCTCTTGTGCCTGTCTGTGCATGTGTGTGCACAGACGTGTCAGCAAGGGGACGCATGCCAGTGAGTCGGCTGGGAGGGAGCATCCCCTTTGCCATCTGCGGCCCTATTTAGCTCCTCACCGCTTGGGGGGCTGTGGGTGCCGAGGCAGACGCCCCTTGAGTGGCTCAGGCTCCCTTCTTTGGCTGTGGCTTTCTGAGAAAGAAGACCGGAAGGAAGACTGGGGCTCCTTCTCATCTCCATCCATGAGGGCTCAGGAAGTCAGACAGAAAGCCATTCCGGTTCGTTGGACAGTGTTTGGAGCAGATATGGCCAAGCCCCTCTGGGGGAGAAGTGAGCGGCAGAGGAGTTGCTGGCTACTTTGTGAGTGGATTCAGAGGATTCCGAGCTCTGCGGGGTGCAGATGGAGGTGTTTTGATTGTAAATAACTGGAACTAACTTAATTGAGAAGCACGCGAGTGGACGCAAGGTAGACTTGGGGTCTGAGTTCTGGGTCCTTCGTAGGACGTACAGTCAAGAGGTCAGGGGCATGGCAGGAGGGAATGAACAGCCGGCAGGAAGCCTCGCAGTGGGGCTGCTGTCTACACCCTTCCTCTCTGTCTTTCTGTTTATTTTCTCTCTCTGTTCGTTCTTTACCTCTCTAGATACACTTCGGGCAGAAAGTGCCCAATGACATCCCAATCTGTATCCTCTTGATCCGGCCCCAGCTGGTTACATCTGAATTCTACTCCATACTCCCATAGGGAGAATCTGATGGGTTGGGTTCAAGTTGAGAGCCTGTCGCCTTGGGTTTGTGATGTGCACACTGTGTGCGTACAAAGATATCATACTGATCCCTATTAATATGCACAGTTAATACATGTTAGTGAAAAAGAGCCTGCCTTCCATGGCTGTCTCTTTCTTGTCGTTGTGACTAGTGTTTTAAATAAATTGTTTAAATCACTGTATATGAAAAACATAGCAAAAACATTTATGGCCAACAAAACAAGGCCAAATCTATATCTATATCTATATCTATATCTATATCTATATCTATATCTATATCTATATATCTATATCTATATCTCTGTCTTTTGGGGCTCATTCCAATGAATGGAATATACATTTCTTCTTAGAAAGTGGCCTCCCAGATGGACAGATATCACAAGATATTTCCAACTTCCAAGTCAGCAGAGAATATCAGAACAGGCATGAAACTGAACACAGCCCCAGCAGCAGTCTTATTTTCCCGGAGATGGAAGATGCAGATGGTAGTTTGCCAGCCTAAGTGAAACACCATCTGAAGGTGGGTGATTGTATGAAGACTTCAAAACATTTTTAAAGTTAAATAAGTTATTTTCTTTTCATTCCAATCAATTCCCTTATTTGAGCATTTAAAATAATTATAGGGTACAGGTAAATTATATACTATACACATAGTAAATTATAACCCATCTCCATCAGTTAATATTTATTGAGCAATGAATGGGCAAAATTTGCCAACTTGGGGATGCAAGACCTGAGCGTAATTAAGTATTTTGGCTGGGAAAGATTAGAGCTGCCTTTTCCCAGGCATCCCTCCTGCTGCTCCCCAGTGTATGTGAGGGGAAACGCTAACACTTAGCTTATCTCTCAAGTTGTTTACACAGGAAAAATCAATTACTTTAAATATTTTAGATCTTATTTCCCAGTAACTAACCAATGAAAATTTATGGTGGGCTTAAAAGCCAGATGGAGGAATCAGATTTGACTTTGTTCACGTTTTCATCCCCAGGGCTTCTGCTGGGTCCTCACGGGCAGGTGTAAGTCATGCTGTGTGGACCCTGACCACCCAGTGCTCATGGACAGTGGCCACTGAGGTCAGCAGCTGAGGAACTGGGGAACTATTCTCTTCGGCACTGCTGCGGCTCTGATGGGGCTAAGCCAAGAGGGCCGTAGCTGGGCAGAAAAATGCAAATCACAGCGTGTCTATGGCTTTCACAATTGCAAATATAGATGAAAAATTGTTTAGCTAATTATAAAACATTTTAAAATCCAGAACTCAAGGATTGGAGCAAACATTTTTGTACGAATTGTTATAGCCCTGCAGGGAGACAGGATGGTGCCAGGTGCTGCAGCAGAGAGTTTGCCAACTCTCTGTGGGCATTTCTCTCCACAAAAGGGATTGGCACATAAAGCTGAAGGAGGATCCGAGTCTCTGCAAACCACTCTCCCTGGAAGGGAGAGAAGAGCAACCTTGAGAGGCTCAAGGTTGTTTAGGGCAAATACAATGGCAATGGGGACTTGGGCAGAAGGTGCATGGATCATCCAGGTAATCTGACTGACAGCAGATTTCCTGGCCGAATCTGAGAAATCTGCTGCCCCCTTAGTAGTATTAAGCATGTGACCAACTTGCCCAGGACATCTCCAATTCCTGGTTGTCTGCACTGGACTGATGGATTTTTGTCTCCTATCACACAGGTATCAGTTTGCACAATGAGATTAGGAACTACCTTGTGTTAAGAAGGAAGCAAATCTCCAAGATACCCATGTAGAATCATTTGTAAGCCTTGTATGTTCTATGTTTCATCCCATATTGCATTTCTGACAACACTACACATAGAAACTCTTGGAGAAATACCAATTTTTCAAAATTCCACCTTATCCTGTTCCACTCCAAGTTTGCTACTGTGAATCTTACAGTGTCACAGGATGATAGATATCACCTAGGTTATGACTGCTCGTAAATACTGACATTTCTGTTCAAGATGGTCACAGATGTTGGGGCAGAAACAGAAGGGATCCTAGATTTTCTAACTCCCTGGTCACTGTTTTTCACTCTCTACAGAGAGCAACGCTAACACTATGACAAGTGGTGGTCTCCGGGGTGGAATCGGGGAGTCACAGTGATATTCCTGTCACCTAGCACAAGCCAGGCTGTGGTCTGTGTCCAGAATTCTTATAAAATCTTGGCAAAGAGGACGATACTAACATGCATGACCTGGAGTGTGGTTCTTCTGCTAGGTGACTGGATTGCATTTCCCCTCCCTCCTTGTGATCTCTGCTTGTGATTTGTCAGTGAGACATGTCTAAGAACCACCTAGCAGATTAGTGAGTTCTTGTTGTGTCTTTGGATGATAGACATGTTGACAAACAAACTGAAAGGGACGACCCTGTCTCATGTGGGTGGCAGCACCTGATAAGCTTGTAGCTTGGACAAAATAAAAAAGAGAAAGAAACAGGAAATGTTTTCCTTTTGTGGAAGAGTTCCAGCCTTTGCCATCCATTGTCTTGGACACTGGTCTCAAATTTCTGCAGCCTTACAACACGAACTCTTAAATCTTTCAATGGAGACTGGCACAGGTGACTCTACAATGTGAGTGCCACGCCTTTGGTCTTTGATTGTCATGGGATTGTCTGAGTCCCAGCACATGGACAGTCATTTTGGATTCCCTTGTCTCTGATCCCACAGAAGGCTATTGTGATTCTCCAACTCTGACCTGTCCACTTCCTTAGTAAATACCTTGACTCTATTACCCTAGAGAACCGTAACCAGTACACTCCCCCTTAGTTGGGTCTGTATTTCTCTACTTATAAAGTGAGGGCAATATGGTGGATATTTTGAAAACTGTAGAAAAAAATTTTTTTTAAAGAAAAATGCTCAAAACTTGATACTTAAAACAGATAACAACATCACAGGCTATGATTTCCACCAGAGACCTTTAGTGGAATTACAGTGAGTGGCCCCTTCCTGGACTTGTTTGACCTCAAACCTAGGGACTTCAGGGCTATCAGGACTGGAGGTCACCTATACCTGGTCACTGTGTGACATGTAGGCAAAGGTCTAGCTGGTCAGATAATAGAAAAAAGAAAGTGAGTAGGAAAAACAATAGGTAAAAATCAGTTAGGTTCTATATTAAAAAAAAAAAATTGAAGAAAGGTCCTGGGCAGCATGTCCATAATGCACATTTTGGGGTTTGCGTTAGTTAGACCTCGTACAGATTTGCTTACATGCCCTTGGTTTCCCTTTCACTTCCCAGCTGGAACTGTGGGGTGTGCTGCTGTGTTGCAGTAGAGAAGACGCATCTGTGTCCTGAGGAAATGCCAGCAGAGGAACAGGAGATGAGGGATCCAACACGGCTCGCACATACAATAAATGACACGAGAGGCGACAGACTTGTAACATGTCCTTAATGTAATCACAGCTGCGTTCCATGGGATCTCAGTGTGGACATGAAATGAGGCTTTCTCAATGTGAAATCAAGAGTGGGCTGTGTGGACTGCGTCCTTTGGAAATCTAACACCCTCTAATGCACCTGGAGAACATCAGTGCGATCAAGGGACTTGGCTGAGTCAGGCTCCCCACACAGCTGAGTGGCCTGATTCCTGGCAGTCACATTCTTGTTGAAAAACCCCACACAGTGCCTTCCAAGAGCATGCGTGTTGGAGGGAGGACTGAGTCTCCAGGCTGATGCCAGGAGACATCTGCCTTACTAGGCCGTGTGTGGCCTGCGTGAGTGCCTCTCCAGGGAATCATTTTACACCTCCTGTATATTTGATTTATAAAGTGGGTTTGATCTTTGTTCCTTTTCTTCAGCAAAGGAAAGTTACTTACATTTTAAAGGATGCTTGCCTTGCTGGTGTTTCTTACCCCCCTGGATTCCGTGGCTTTTTTTCTGTTTCTTATCACATTCAACCTGTCTCATAGGCATTTGTGTCTGAGGTTTGTTTTCCCCAGCAGACTGTGAACCTTTTGATATTAAGGTCCAGTTTGTAATCATTTTGTAATCCTTCCTTATGCCTTAGCACACAGACTGGTAAAGAGGTGACTTTAGCTGTGGCTAGTGAACTAAATTGAAACCTTTCTTACTTGCAAGCAGGACCGTTCTTCTGGAAAAAATTCTCTATAGGAATTTAATTAATCAATTTTTCTTGTTTATGTTACCTCTGCTTTAACTCAAACTATAACATGTTTATTAACTGTAAGAAGATTCTAGGAAAACCTTCTCTTACTGGATTTTCAATTTAAGTTTACAAATAAGTTCTATGCTTACCAAAATTTGCTATCATTTCAATTTTCTTGATAAATTATATTTAGGATTAAACATCGAACACCCTTGTCTGCACTTCTTCTGTAACTTTAACTCAGAGGTTTGGAAGTTCACTTTTAAATAGTAAAATCACAAGAACTACTAGCTGATTTCAGTTCACATTACGTAACTCATGAGATGTGGGAGAAGGGCAACTTTGAGGATCTTAGCCGTTTGGGATTAAGACCTAATACCAGAACATCATGGTGAGATCACGAGGAGACAGTTGTTCCAGTATTTTGTAACCTGAAGAAACATTTGTAAATGAAAGGGGCTTGGGGAAATAAAGGTGGAGAGAATTTGAAGTACAAATGTCTCTTCATCCTAATAAATCAGGGTGGGCACATAGCTCAGTGGCACAGTACCTGCCTGGCAAGGTCCTGAGTTTGATTCTTGGTACAAAAATAAAATCAGTGCTGGGAAAGGAATTTCACAATGAACTTGGTCTATGTTCAATCTAGGATCTGAATGCAGTAATCAAGACTGGCCCTCCATAGGAGTTAGGGCTAAAAGAGGTGTCACTATCCAAGCCAACAGGGGTTTCATGGCGAGAGAATACCATTTATAATAAGAGAATTGAGCCTCCAAGAATTTTCAGATGGTGGACAGGAATCCACAGTATCTGCACCTGTGACTTTCCCGCCTGTGGTCTCCACACTGTGCCATGATCCAGAGCTCCAAGTCTTTGGTAGAACCATGGAAAGCAGAAGTTATAACAAAGACACAGAATAAATAATGAAAAAGGAAAACAATTCCACCAAAATCTCTCTGCGAGGCTGTGTGGTGAGGTAACCTTGTTCTGCTCCCACAGAACAAGCCAACTCTAAGAGGAACGAGTTGCTTCCCCTGACTCTGCACATGCCACAGAATGAGCTGAAAGGCAGTGTGACTTCCAGAAGATCTGGCTTGGTCACTCTGAGGGTTTTCACCTTTGGTGGATCCTGGCACCCGTGGAGCACCTGTCAGGGCAGGGGCAGCTGGGGCCATGGAAGTGTCAGTGTGTCAGTGATGCTGATGTGAACATCGTATGTCCTTCTTGAAGATAAGAGGTGGATGGTGACACCTGTGAATGCGGTGCGGTGACCCAGACCTGGTGGGCATGATGGAAAGCAGTTAGCTTTGTGGATGGCAGTCACGTCACCTAGGAGGACTGGTTGGTACACCACTATAAAATTTGGGGAAATAGCTGTGAACAAATGAGAAATCAGTTCTAGAAAATGGAGAGGACATTTTTCATGACACATACTGGAGCAAAAATCCAGTTTGTGGAAATACAGATGACACAAAGCCAAGAGGAACTGAACTTCTACACTGTTTTAAATAGGAAAAGTCTACAGGGACTGGACCAGGTGGTCCCAGCGACATCCTGTGGTTTCAACAGAAGTAGGAAATCAATCTGAAGAGAGTGGACAAGGATGCCCATCAGGACCTGGGATCCCACAGAGCCTGTGCCCATTATCTGAAAAGTGGACCAGGATATGCTTTGTGTGTCTTCCATTTCCCACTGCCCAGAACCACAGCTTTCTGGGGCTCAGGCAAATGCCCCCCTGTTCCTGAGAATTCACATTTCACAACAGTAACACAAGATGAGTTACAGATAGTTCAGCCCCAGGCAGCTTAAGCCAGGGACAGTCAAGCAGGCCTCCGTCACAGGCAACGCCGGGCCTCTTTATTTCCTTAACCTGGGACTTTTATTTCTGAGCCAAGAAGATAACACATCTTAATAGCAAGCAGCTGAGTTAACTAGATAAAAGGTTTCATAAACAGTTAGTGAAATCTTGAAATCAGAGAAAGCGCAGATTCTCAGTCTTGCCTTGCTTGACTGGATCTAAATGTACATCACCAAAGCAGCACAAAGCAGATGGCGAGATAGGCAGCCAGGCTCCCGAGAGCCAGCTCACAGGCTTCCCTGCCTTCCTTCCCTCCACAGCTGGTACTGAAAGTTTCCACTCAGTGTATGGCCAGAGATAAGAGATGCCCGGAGCATCCGTCAGCTAGAATGGTCTTAATGATCCACCCAGTGACGATTGCATTAAACTAAAGAGGACATGAAGCTCATAAAAGACCATGTTTATATAGTAGCAATGGTACAAAGATAGGAAACCTAAAGCCTTTACATCCACTGGTAAGTAATAGGGCTAAAGTTAATGTACAAATGTAAGGAATGAATTGGAATTAAAAAAAAAAAAAGTGGTCTGTAGTGAAGAGGCCAGGATCATAAATTATGCAAGTTCTATGATTCAAGGGGAATGATGTGCAAACACAGTCAGAAAAACTCTGCTGAATGGAAGAATGCAACCTGGAGATGACAGCACAGGAAACCCGGGGGACAGGCTTCAGTGAGGATGGGGCTGGAAATGGCAGTGGGGGACCTGGATTAGGAGCCAGGAACTGGGGAGCCGGTGACCTCCAGATTGACCACACAGAGCCAGAAGAGTTCATGTGAAACACAAATTCAAGGAAATTCCGATTATTATGGCCGCAGTTAGAAGACAGAATATCAAAGGAGGTATCCAGGGGAAAGTGATTGATTCTGAACAAAGAAAAATTAAAGATCAAAAGCAAGAAGATAAAGGAAATCACACTGGTTTTGGACAAAGACTGCATGCATTCCAAACCTATAAATAGATAAATAGGAGGAAACTTTCTGCAAAAGTTAATGAAATGGAGCAACAACAGAGATATGGAAAATAATGATTATGTGACGATGGGAATAAAGCCAAGTGCTTTACCACATCAGTTAAGGGAACAGCAGGCTCCAAAGCAGAGACAAAAATAATATGACTTCTGAAGACCCAACGTTTACAAGACAACATCAAAGAACGGAGGGAAACATGTGCTTCTCACTACTAATCCGACTTTACATGAAATACTACAAAAACAGAAAAGGACTTAAATACACAAAAATGATTCAAATTGCAAAACAAATTCTTCAAAGCTGTGTGCGCTTCACAGAGACAAGGCTCACTCCTTTCTGGGTCCCCTCTGAGCCTCACATTCTTTTTCTCGTAGGTGACCACACTAGTAGGGTGCTCGGCCACTCTGTAAGCCTTAAAAAGCCTGTGGTGGGGACAGAAGGGTCCAGGGTGCTGCTTTCAATAAACCCTCATGCAGACTCGGCTTCCTTGACAGCCAGGAGGACAGAGAGTTGCTCACCGTGCCATTTCCAGCCTCCTCCTCCTCCTGATTTCTGACACTAATGAGTAATCTGTCCGTAGCGTTCGGCCGGACACACCTGCTGAGCACACAGTTGGATGAACAGTTGGACTGAAGGATTCCGCGTCCCCCATGACCTCCTCCTTCTCAGTTACCAAGCCACGGAAGATACTAATGTTCTTCCCGATGTCATTAATTAGCCGTGCTTGACTGGTTGTGAGTGGCACCACTGAATTTTTTTTCTTGAATGCTCTTGTTTTGACATCTGATTATTTACCCTGCATCTTCCGTGCCCAGCAGAGTGCTTGGCTCAGTTTTAGTAGTGAGAAGAAAGGGCCCTTCCCATCCCACTTGCCTTCTTGTCCAGTTCACTGCGCCGATCCCTGCTCCCCTGTGCCTCCTCTGACAGCTGCCCTCTCTCCTCTCCACACCAGCTCTGAACCGAGAGGTACCCCAGGGCTTGTTCTTGGGTTTTCCTTAGCTCACTTTGCTTTATCTTTTGTTTGCTCACTTCTTTGTCTTTTTCTTTCTTTTTTCCTTTAAGAAAAGAAAATCTATTTTAGAGCTGGGTAGCTTAGCAAAAGGATACAATTTTATGAAAAGGAGTAATTTTTGTTTTTGCTTTGTTTTATTTTAATAAACTTGTTTAGCTTTGTTTGTTTAGACAAACTTGTCTTTGTGAACCCAGAACTCAGGGTCTCAATTAATTCCTCCTAGATTCTTTTTCTTTGAGGATGAAATCCTAGAAATAGGGCTTCCCACAAAACGCCTTTAACAATGCAAATTATAGACTAGAATAACATGTATATAAGGGAAATTAGAGAAAATTAATAAAAATATTAAAATATTCTTCAATTTGGTAAAAACCAAATTGAAACACATGTTACCAGTACAATGGAGCATGATTTCTACTTATTTATGATTATAATCCCACTATTCACTAAAAGCCTGTCCTTCCTTCTCATCCTAAATTTATCATGTTGACTTATAAACTTCTGGCAAAAATTTTATAGACTGTCATTCTATGATTTATTTTTTAATTTTTGATAAGGTAGCATATAGTTCAAAAAGTTAAATAATTTTTAAGTTATCTTATGATAAAATGCCACTTTATGTCTGTTGTACGTAGAAGTTTTCTGTTGTTGGCGTGACCAAGTACACCAGCTCAGTGGTTTACAATAGCGCACATGTATTGTCTCACAGTTCTGTAGGCCAGAAGCTCAAGATTGGCTTGAGCAGCCTAAAATCAAGGTGTCAATAGGGCATGTCCCTTCCTGATACTGCAGGGTCCATCTGTCTCCTCATAACATTAGTGAGGAGACAGATCCTTGCCTTAGGATCCCTGCTGGTGGTCACTTAGAGCTCCTGTCCTCTGCATGGTCTCCTATGGCTCACATCAGGAATAGGACATCGGAGTCTTCTCTCCTCAGGCTGATTCCCTGAACTTTTTAAAATCAATTTTAGGGTTCACATGATCAGATCTGGCCATCTTGATAACCTCCTGCTCTCTGGGTCCTTAAACATTAGCCATCTGAGCAAAGTCACATTTGCAAAGTCCTTTTGCTTTGACACAGCCTCCAGGAATTACAGCTTGGATATCTTTCAGGGTAGGGGCATTATTCCTCCTACATACCATGCTCCCCCACATTCAGCTGTGTATATACTTAATGGGGACTTACCTCTTTGTATCTAAATAACATTCTGAATTAGAACTTGATTTTTTTTAGAGTTTTTGCATTTATTAGTTATAGATGATTCAGCTACCTTTTGCACTCTATCTCCCATGAAATACATCACTTTCTAGATCCCTTTTTATCACAATATGGTTGAATTAGAATGGATAAAATAGCTTTTACATTAGAACAATCATAAGTGCACTTAATACTATCTTAGCTAAATTACATGTCATACCACTGCTTTATGGCAAAAATATTTGTTGGTTAAATTTTCTATCATTATTTCTTGAGAAACCATTCTCTCTCAGAACTGGAAAAGCTTTTTTTTCCTTGCAGAGCTCCCAGTGAGAGCATTCTCATAGGTTTCACGTCTGGATTTGTCGATGTCTGTGCATCCTGCCCTACTGCATCATGGGAATCTCCCTGCCACTTGTGAGGGGAGTGAAGTTTCTTCTGCTTCTTCTGTAGGTCCTCTCCCTTTTGTCTTCTATATTTCAATGGAGCATGTTCTGCAGAGTTATTTGATAAGGAATTATCCTGTTGTTTTATTCTTCTATGGTTTTCAGGGGAGAGTCGACCAGGGTGAGTTTTATCTCAAACCTGAGTGTTTCAGTGTTACAGTGTAAAGGAAGAGAGATAGAGAGTGTAACAAGGTCTGCAGCTTAAACTAGAGTGCCGCGTGAGTTACCGTCATTGATTCGTTTCTCGGTCTGCAACTGCTCTAAATGTTAGTGCTACATATCCCAAAATATTTCTCCCTTCTCACTCTCCTTTCCTGAAAATTTCATCCTCTGGTGGATAACACACTGGTATGAGTTCTAAGTGCTCATTTAATTCTCTAAAGCTAGACTCAGTGATGTTCTTAAGCAGAGAGCAGAGAGAGATTTTGGGGAAGGCACAAGCTCTTGGTGCTGCCTACTCAAAGCTGACACACTGGAAGGCTGGTTGGTGACTGAAGGCAGAAAGCTCACATTGGTTTCCCCTCCCTGCTCCGTCAACAGGTCTTGTGTTGATTTGGCGATACTTACACACCAAGTTATGAGTTCATATGAGGTAGGAGAAATGCGTATTTCCCACTCACTGTATCTGCATTTCATAAAAGATTCCTTCCCTAATAAACGAGTCAATGCGCCTTCACTAAGGCCCATTGCAAGAGTGACCTTTTCAGAGGAGAGAGTAACTTGTCTGAGTGTCCTGCCAAGAGGCTTAGTACCAGGCCCCTCTGTGCGGTCACACCCTGAGTTAGGAGGTAAGAGTGTCTCTGTGATGCAGTAAGTGCTTTTTACCTCTTTGATCGCTGGTGCCCAAGTGGTCTTATTTCCAGGAAGACCGAAACTACTACCATTCACTGTTCAGCCCTCCTTGGGCTCTAGTCTATGAATTATCTTTCATGGGGAAGAGAAAAATCCTTTCTTTTTCCTTCCTTTTAGCTTCTACCTTTTAAAAGGAAGTAAGTAGCACATTCCAGAAGAAGGTCTCGGCGTGTTGTTTCCTGGTGACGCTGTGTCATACAGGGGCCTTTGTCTGGGACCCTCCTGCCTGCAGTCAAGTAGTTGCCCAAGTGATGAGCATAGTACTTGGGTAGTCCCTGCTTTTCTCCTGGCCTGAAATCCGTTTCCATTTTTCTCCCAATAATGCTTCCCCTTTAAAACTGGTTAACAATAGGCCCCATTTAAAGCACACCTGAAGCCTCTGTGCATACGAAATCAATGGAAAATTCACAGCCACTGCGGTAGGTCTCCGAGGACTCTTTTAGAAATCACCTTGGACCTGTTTCTCAGACAGAAGCTGAAAGAAGATGCTAAATATCATTGCCACGCTCAAGGCATTTCACTACTTGCTACTTTAATTTCTATAAAAAAGTACAGGTTTATTATAAGCAGCACATAGGCTATTATCCCTTGATAATAACCCTAAATAAATGCCAAACACAAGAGGTCTAAAATTGTTCCTGGCCTTGTGCAGCACTTACGTTCTATGTGACCGTCCTGCAATCGACTAAAAATAATGAAATGTACTCATTATGCGCTGTGTGTGTGTGTGTGTGTGTGTGTGTGTGTGTGTGTGTTAGGTTCTTCTAGGGCTTTGCTTAGTGCACGGATATGCCCTCTGATAACATTAAGTCTTTGCAAGACAGAAAGACCTACAGTGAGACTAACTGTAACGAAAATCCCTTTTGTTCCCTCCTTTCCTCCACTCACTGGTCCCAGCTGGTTACTAAGTCCTGTTAGGAGCCCTGCACAGATTCCCTCCCCATCCTCAACAGCCTCCTCCCCTCTGTCCTCACACTCCTCACCTCACGGAATTCCTGCTCCCCCAAACAGGTTTATCTCAGTCCAGCCTCTTCAGGCTGCTGACAGAACAATTTTTCTAACCTGTAAAACTGGGCTTCTACTTCCCTGCTTACATTTCTCAGGTTAGGCTGGTCTTCATAATATTTCAGGTGCAACTTTCTACTGCTTCTGCCCAGTTCTGTAAATATGTTTTGCGATGCAATCCCATGGCAGTTTGTTTAGCAGTTGCCGTGATCTTGAAAAGCTTTCCGTGCTCCATTCCCTTCCATTCCTCTGGACTTCTGTTCACTCTGTTCCACATCTCCAGCCGTCTTTTCTCCCCGCTGAGTCACTGGCTAAGTCCTAAATGTCTATGCAGTGTCAGTAACTTGTCACCACCTCTGACAAGGCTTCCAAAGCATTTTCTTTCTTCCTGTTCTCACAGCGCCCTGTGCATAAATGAACTCCCACAGCATAATTCCTCCCCTGATTCTTTCCCTGGTTGTACTTTGAATTCCTGATAGGAAGAGACTCTCCATCTCAGGAGTAAAGGTGATGTTTTTAGCACATCTTGTACCAATTGTGCTATCATTAGGTAAGTTAAGATTTATAACAAATAAATGAATGGGTATTTTTTGCAAATAAATGGGGGATTTATATCTTCAAATAAATGTCTTTATTGAAGCTATTTTCTTGGAAGCATAGGCTTAATGTAATGAGAAAAATCTGAAATGCTCATGGAAAGTCCTTTTTGAAGAGAGCTTTCACAGCTCAACGGCAGGTCATGCACGGAAAGTGTGACTCAGGCTCAGTTCCACAGAAAACAGTCCCCTATCTGAACAAAACCAATCCCAGGCTTCATCACCTTACTCACCAAACCTGGCTGGAGATGACTTGTGGGTGAGTGTGAATTTTGTTTTTGGCTATAAAAGGCACAATTTGCTACCTTTGAGAATTTATTTTAAAAGTTCAACTCCCTCCAAAATTTTTTCTCAAGAGAGTTCCATACATATTAAAAACTTATAACTTCTTTGGAATATAAGAATTGTCTACTGTGAGGACTATTTCAAAAAAAGTTCTTGGTTTTTGCTGAAGATCTCATTTATTTGGTCACAACAGAGGCAGACTGGACCTGTTAGTAAAGTCAGATGCTTTAACCATGACACCTTCACCTGACTCATGCATATGTGGCCTTGCATGAGTGACCGGCTTTGGGGAAAATGTATTCCGAGTCACTGAGTCACTAGACTAACATGAGATCACGGGTGCCTTAGAGTGGCAACAATCAGAACGATGAGTTCACCAAATTTATTTTATTAGCTGTGTACTATGTTCTAACCCAAGCTAAAGTTTCTGTAATTATATCATGCAACCCTCTGCAAAGGCATTTAAAATGAAGGTAACTGAAGTTTAGAGAAATAAGAGATTTGTCCAGCATGATGCAGTTATTGAAAGCTAAAGAAAGAATTTTCATGAAGGCAGCTTAACACTGTAGACCATATCTTCATTTATTTATTTGTTTGTCTATTTTGTAGTGAGGGTTTGAATTTAGGGCATTTTTAGTGAGCTATACCCCAGCCATTTTTGAGAACTGTTTTATTTTGAGACAGGGTCTTGCTAAGTTGCTAAATTGTCCAGGGTTTCAAACTTGTGATGCCTCCTGTGTGCACCACCATCTCCATCTCAGATCTTGTATTTTTTGTTATATTTTTCTTGTTTTCTCACAAACCATGAACACATGCGGCTCCTATAGCAATACAAATTCAACATGTTAATGAATATGAATTTTATACTATTTTTTTATGAAGTTGAATTCACCTAAATGAAAGAATCTGGTGAAACTCATGGGCAATCATCCCACTTCACGTACATACATCCCTCATATGCACATACATACATGCATGAACACACATGCTTATGTGACCTTAGTCTAGCACTATTCAAAAAAGTCAGTAACCGCTAGCTCCCCAGGGGCTGGCTTGTGGGCTCCCTCCAGCGACCCTTTCCAGCCACCCAAACCGGAAGGAACCCTTTCTGAAGGCTGCTGGGCACACGGGGAGGCTTCCGAGTGGCTGGGGGAGAGCAGGAGGAGGACGGGTG